GCTATTATTTGTGTTAGTGAACATTTATGAGCTATATTAGTTATTGAAATTTTGATCTCACCCGTGGTTATTATATTTTTTAGGTCTAGTGGTAGTGGTGTGAAAAGGAAGGAATTAGGCCAAGAATAGAGATTTCTCTATATAGCCCTTATAAGAACTAGTGCAATGACTAAGCATATAAGTTGTATTTGTATGAGTATATGAGTTGCCTTAAGATTCAAAACATGTGCATATTACTATGAAATTTTGTGATGTTTGGTTTGAGTTCTAGTTTACTAAACTAGTGTATGTGTGTGTACATGCTGAAATAGCAATATGGGCTAGTGAATGAATGTGAGCATGTGAGAATATGATAATGCTTGATATATATGTGGAGAATTTAGCCATATGTATGAATGGAATTAAGAAATGAGAATTTGCCCAAGTTGTGTGTTATGATGAATTTACAAGCCAATTGTGTGTATGCATTTTATATTGTGTATATGATTCATCAATCAGGTGTACATTCTCTATTTGGACGTGGTCAAGGCCCTAGAAGTGACCAGTGACTTATGGTTTCGATTGGTAATACTCAAGTGGCAAATTTTGACTTAAAACAGTCAAAATGCACTTAGTGTTCAATTTTTAAACAGGATTTTGGATTTAAACAAAACCAATGTCATTGGTTAGATTTTGAAATAAGCTTTGTGTGAATGCTTGAACTATCACAATCAGACATCAAATGCAAAAACGACACACTTCTGAAGTTCATATCAAAATCTAAAATTTGATAGCAGATTCTAATATGTGCGCCACAGTGCATGTGACAACAAAGGAAAATATGCCACAGCGCACGATGTAAAGAGTGACGTTGAGGTCTCTGTGTTGCATGCCACGGTGCATGTGGCACGAGCCGCAATGTAATGCCCTTATTTTGGCTTAATTTGGTTGATTTGTATATGTTTTCTTATTGACCTTGAGGTGTTACAACATATTGCTTATACTGTGTAATATTTTACAACTCATATACATATATATATATATATATTATTAAATGATTTTCAAAATGCTTTCATATTAGGATCCCAATGTTTTCAAGTTAATTATTTTGATTAGTAATTGTGTGAAGGATTGTATGGTAATGTCATTGAGGGCATTACACTCAACACTTTTGAAATTGATACAAAATTGTAATATGCACCTTGACATTACCAAGACGTACTACAAACATTATCATTGTAACTAGGATTAAGTAAGTCCTTATATTAAGTTATCATAATAGAAGGGTTAAACTTAAAACAAGAAAATTTTGTTTGAAGATTGAGATCCCAATAAACCCTTTTAAAAATGTTTGAACTCAAACATAAATTAAATTGTCATTTAAGAAGTCATAGGAGCATGGCAAATAAGAAAACAAACAAAAGATAACACAATAAGGGCATTAGCTCTATCATGATAGCTTTATATTGTCATGATAGTATTTCAGGAGAAACTTCTAGAGTACACCATTTTGTCATTCAATGGTCAATCTAAGCGATTTAAGTATCCACACATAACTAAACAAGCTACTTAACCATTAGCAACAGTTTCACAACAAAATTCATTATGATTTACAATTAGATACTTGAGTATAAAATGTCACATTTTCTCTTCAAAATAAGCACAAGGTGCCCAAAACCACAAACCAAGTGCTAATATCCTAAAGATCACTTAAACCAACTCTTGTGGACCACAATGCACCTCAATTATAAAATAGCCATCAAAACCTCACTTCAACATTAATTAAGGGGTAATAGTAAATTCATCTTAACATCCCTATGACCAATAACAAATACATTATCAAAGCAATGTTCATAATTACACTAGTATTTCTAACTCTCATGACAATTACCATAACATTCCCATCATTCTAGGTTGAAATACATCAAAATAAAAACACAAACTTCATGCAAGTGTAACTAAAAGAATGCATGTCCCAAGTTAGCAATATCTCACACACACACACACACACAAAACACACACTCACTCATTAAGTTCAACCAAATGAATAGGTTATACAACTAGTAGCACTATTAATCCTTGGTGGCTTCTTTCTTCCCTTTATCCCTAATGGAAGCATGTTAAGAATATCTCACATTGAGACATTGCATGATCAATCACTTTATCTTATATCCTCCTTATTACCCTAAATTGAATTTGCAAGCTAATAATTCAATAAGACCAAGTCTAAATGATTAGACTAGTCCAAGCTCACCAATTGTGGGAGGAAGTTTGGCCAAAAGCACCTTCATCCATTCTCAAGCCATAGATTCTTCCTTTTTTCAAACGTTTAGGGTATTGTATACCTAATCTACCACAAGTATAATACTAAGACTTCCAAACAAGAAAGATTGATCACTAAGGCCACCTAAGGTGCTACCAAATACCATATGGATGTATAAGTCTTACTCCTATAGGTTGAACTCCCACCCTTTCACAAAGAGCATGCTTAAACAGGTATCACAACAAGGCACAATCACATTACAACATATTTATTTCAAAATCAAGCACTAACATTTCCAAATTGAAAATTGCTTTTGCAAACATATAAGCATAATTTTAGTAAAAATGCATCATTTTAAATATATCCCACTTCATGCCAGTTTCTAAAACTATATATAAACATTCATTTTATTCGTTACCTAATAAGACAATAGCATATAATTTCTCAAACATTCACAACCATCCAAACAAACAAGTAAAAAGATTAGATTATCCAGTTACCTCAATGCTTTTTCACAAAAAGGTTACCTTTGGCAATTATCTACTCACTTTGCCTCCACTAGCTTAAAGAGGTCAAAGCAATAATTAATCTATAAGATTAAATACTAGTCATCAAATTACAACTCTAATAAGTACAGTTTTAGTCTAAGATAGGTTACTTTAACTATCCAAAATTTATTATTAGCCTAAGCAACACTCTAGCTACAATCCATTTGCTTTATTTAACATTTATAAACTTAAACAACACTAAATTATAACCTGCATTACTCCCAATTTTCCAATTAAATCCCAAAATTTTGGCCTTGTTTTTGGGCTTGATTGACCCAAACTCCATCCAAGTCCACTTATAAGGCTATCTAAGGTTCCAACAAACATATTAGGATCCAAAAATGGGATTAATTCATTAAATATAATAATTTACCAATTTGCCCTTATTAAATCCTCAAATTCAAGTTCTAAAATTTTAAGATGTTACAATTCATGTGAAAAGTAGAGCGATAGTAGAGAACCATATTTCTGGATCTAATTCTTTTAAGAAGTAGTTGTCTTGCTCATGAGAATAAGAGTTCTAGTTGAAATTTGAATGTGACCCAAACTCAAGTTTTCCTTTGAGAGCCTAGAACACTTGAACACTTCATGAAAAATTCATAGTCTTATTTTCAAATTTTGTTAGACTAATTCTCATGAGAATTGGACCATACCCACTTGAGAACTAAGCTTTTAGAAAGATCATTCACCTTTGTCATCCAATTCCTGCAACAACTAGAGAGAGCCCACATGTGAAGTAAGTGTTTAGAGAAGCTTGTGCTTCTACCTAGCTAAAATATGTGAGAACCATATTGCACTATCATAGGAAGTAGATTGATCTTTACACAAGCCTTTCTACGTACAAGTCTCATTCACACATGAGAACAAACTCCTTCACCTATGAAGTAGAGTTTGGACACACATTTAATGAACTTCACAGATAAAGTTCTTTTTCACAGTTGTTATTTCCTACAAGCAATGCAATGACTCTAAACAACTTGTTTGAGGTCTCTAATAGTCATAAACCTCCAACACTATAAATTAAACCTTATCTAAGTTAGTAGGTAACAAATTAAGTATGCATTTACTATTATTCAACTACTTTGCATTTATTATTTTTGAAAAGTTTTTAGTCTTAGTGTGCAAGCTTTTAATTGTATTTTATCTACTCTTTTGAGAGTTTCAAAGCTTATTGAATTCAATATTTTATTGAGTAAACTTAATGAAAGGTCTTCCTTAAGTGGGTTTTATCAACAAATTAAGACTTTTGTAAGGGATTTGTGAGAGTTCAAGATTGGTAGTCTTGTTTTTCTACTAAGGTTGAAAGCACCTGGCTAAGCTTGAGGATTTTAATGAAAACTCTCAAGTGTGATCTTCAGAACTGGATATAGATCAATTGGTTAGGCTAAACCAGCATGAATCTCTTGTGTCTTGCTTTTTTCCCTTCTAATGGTTCATTTGTTTTAAATTTTGTTTATATGCTTTGTTTTACTGTAAACTTTGTTATTGTTTTATTGTGTAAAGATTTTTTAAAATTTGAGAATACCCAAATCATTTCATCTCTTGACTGCCAGCTTATTGAACACCTTTAAGTTTAACAACTTCACCAAAACTAGAGGTAGTTAAGTTATTAACTTTATTTAAAAATAAAATAAACTTTCAATTTTATACCTTTTTAAATTATTTTTTTTTCAAATTTGCATTACATTCTTTGTCATAGTTAATGAGTTTAAATAGAAGTAAATTTTTTTTTTAAACTAAATAGGGGTAATATTGAAAAATGTAATTAATACCATATCAAGTGCTTTATATTAAAGATCAAATAATCTTTTTAGAATGCATCTTATACGTAATCAAAGGAAGTATTTTCAGAAAGGGGATTTGGTCCAAATCTACAACATTAAATAACTGAAGTTTGGGGAGAAAAGGAAATTAAACTGCCTTCTTGTTACAAACATTCAAGTCATTAAGCAATAACATAACAACAATGGGTGATAGGGAGTACAAATCCCAAATAGAATGTCAAGTTTCTACAGGACGTTTTCTTAATTACTTACCATCGTTGCCATAAGTAATGGTGATTTGATGATCCGCTACTAGTCAATCAAAGTGATTGGTCACAATAATATTTTAGCTTTTATATGGATAAGACATTATATGAGTTATTTATAATTTTAAGGATATTTATTTGTAATTTTTCCAATCCACTAACATTGAAAGTCACAGAAGCTTTGGGACAGGGTAATGCTGCTTCGATTTCCAAACTTCCAACGTAATATTGCACCACCTTATACTTTAGGTTAACTAGTACGCATGAAAAAATCATTTAGAGCGAATTCCCACCATAAGCCAATTGTATACATTTAAGATAAATTAAACAGTGTTGCTTTTCCTTTTGAGAGATGAATTATTGAATAATAGACATGAAATATTTTGAGAATAAAAAAATTAAGGCTCCTTTTTACACAAACAAATGGAAAAGAGATTGATTAAAATGAATTAATCAATACAAACAAGATTAATTTCTTGTTTCAATTCATGACTTCCATTGCCCTTTAAAAAACACGCGTGATCTGATCTACAAGAAGAAGCAAAGAGCCATATTATCTTTCAACTTTTAGGGTCTCTTGGTTGCTGCTGCTCTGTACTTGGTTGCATATCTTTGAAACAAGCCAAGTGCATTGCTAGTGACTTGCGCAACGTTCAAGACCTTACCTCTTATTTTAGCTTTCATCTTACTCATCCTATGACCTGGAAAGTAATCCACACAAGTGCTCGCATCAGTAAGAGCCGTACTAACCCATGTCTCAACGTTACTTATGTGCCACAAGACACCATCGTTGATCTCAGTGCTTGGGATCTTATTCAACCTTTCAAGCTCTTTTATTGAAAGGCCAAGCTGGTCCACACTATCATTGATCTGCTTCACGCAATCTTGCAGAACAAAATAGTCTCTACGATTACTACTCTCGAATGCCTTGAATTGTCTGGCCACTTGCAGCAAGTAATCTCTGGTGTATAGTGCTCGTGAGAGACTCACAGATAAGGCCACATGCGCTAACTGTTGTGGGCTTTGAATGTTTGAATTGGCAAATTTGTATAAGCAACGAAGGCATAGATTTGGATACAAAGTGGTTTGACAAGAACCTTTTATGAAAGCAACGGTTTGAGTATTATATCGATGAGGCCTTTTCAAGGATGGTACAGCTGTGGCATGATGAATTGAGAAGAGAGATATGAGGATCATCATCACTAGCAATGTGAAGTTGATGGGTTGTGCCATATTTCTTCGGTGAAGATTGAAGAAGAGAGAGAATTTGAAAGCTCAAATGAAGTTTGTTGTTGGAGAAAATGGCAAGGGACTATGGTGCTTATATAGATTATCAGATTTGGTACACATCAGCTGGACGCCTAGACCGTAGACCAAATGATCTCTCATGGATGGTCGTGATTTTTATAATTTTATTTTTATATTTTTACAATAAAATAATGTTTTTTTGTTAAATACTAATCAGATTGAGATTTTATATTCCATCGAGTTCTTACTTCAGTTCAAACTGTAAGAGGCAATGTAATATTATCTTATAGTAAGATATTTTTATTCCTATCCAATTATTTTACTCTCTCATGTCTTATTTTTAAGTCACTTCTAACTACCGTATCAAAATTGTTAAGAGTTAATTAAATTATTGATTTTTTCCAAAACAAGAAATTTCATAATTTACTATTTTTATATATAATCTTTAAAAATATTTTCTATCTCATGTAATTTTTTATTCTCTACTCATTGAAAATTGTAAGATGGTAAAATTAGAATAATATACATTTTTAATGCTAAATGATTCATAAAAAAAATTATGAATTCCTTGTAGAATATAACTTATACATATAAGACTGGGGGAGTAATGTGTTTTCACGAAAATTGTGAAAAAGAAGTGGATGTAACTACTTTTCAAAAAATGATAAATCATTTGTTGGAGCTTTCTTCGCCATTTTCCTTGTTGTCTTCTAATTAAGGTTAATTTAGAGGCAACATAAACGCAAGTTGCGCGAAGATGGAACCAATTATATATTGGCGATGAAAAGAAGTATTTATTATGTAATTGGTCGGTCAGAAACTAGTGGTGTACCATTTGCATAAATTTGAAGCAAGGATTAAATTACATTGATTAAGATTAATTAATTACGTCGCAATGATTATAATAACAATGGATCCAATCTCTTATAAAGTCATGATTCAGATAAAATAACCCTGTGTGTGGTGAAGAAGCAAGAGCCAGATGTTGATAAATAATAGAACCATGTCTAAGAAAAAAACTTAATATAGGTCCTTATGTAATGGCATGTGAAGTCAATTAACAAAATAAAGCAGGCCAACGTTTTGTTACGCGTTTAAGGGCCAATTGACGTAATAACATGAAGGAAGTTTGTAGAAATTGAATCATTTAGGTATAAATATTTTTCTTGTTTTGTCTTTTTGACATATCCAATATTATTGATTAATTCAGATTTGGGCATTATAGAAACTTAGAGTAGCTCATCATCATAATTTTTTATTTTGAAAATTAACAATTTAGATCTATATATAATTTTGACTTATTAGTTCTTAAATTTTAACTCGATGCAACTTTGTCCTTGTAGTAGTTTTAACTCAATTAAAATTCAAATTTTAAATTTTGACCTGATATGCAACATAATTCCAATAGTTTTATTTAACTGTTTAAAGTATTGATTTATATATTTTAGAAAACAAAATAATAAGAACTAAAGTTATTTCTTGACACGTATGGACTACTAATGTTTAAAATTTCTAGAACTATTATATAGGAATTGAGTTGAGATTTGCATACGAAATAAAAGTTTATGAACTGGACCAACAAATTTAATCTTCATGGTAAATCCTTGAGGATTTAATTTAGAGGTCCCAAGCTTGACGCAAAAAATAAATAAATTATGAACTGGATTTCAACCAATATAAAATAGAGAATGAGTTGTATGGAGTTAAAATTTTATTTACACAAGATATGAACTTTTCACCTTGCTTAATAAAGGCATCACAACTTTTCCACTCAATCAAGCTATTGTTAATGAGGTTGAGTTTAATTAATGTAGATATTTGTTTATATAATTCGTATGCTGAGTGAGAGCCTAACATGGATATTATTCGATCGGCGATTCTAACGGGTCTTTGTCTATTTGATGAGTGAAAAGCTAAAACAAAATAAATATTTGTAGCTTAATTAGAGAAATTGATTGGCAAAAGACGTAATGTTTCTGCTAATTAAATCAAGTCTGAAGTTTTCAGAGACCCCAATTATTAATTGGGAACCATAAGACTACATCTTTGCAGGGAGATATTTTTTTCGAATTAAGGAAAGTAGGATTAATTAAGTCGCTAGCTAACATGGGGATGATAACATAAAAATATAAAATTAATTAGTCTTTTTTTCATAGGAAAATGCATGAAGAACGAAAAGGCAACTTTATATACCAATAATGAATTTTATTAAAGAGATTGAGAGTTATTATTAAGATTGGAAAGTCTTCTATAAACATGTATTCAGAGAATAAATCAACAATTATTTTGTGTGATACGCCCACAACACAAATATTAAATTAATGGTATGTTTGGATTAATGAGAATTTGAATTTAGATTTCGATTTGATCTAAACCTCTTATTTGGATACAAAAAATTTATAAATTTAGATTTGACTCAAATCTAAATCCAAATCTATTTCAAATTATAATTTTTCATAGTTTCAAATTTACTTTATACTCGAGTCATTTGAAATTCTAATTACTTTATATATCTTGTTCTTTTCATGTTTTTATTATTAATACTTCTATAACTCTAATATCTTTTCTCATCTCTGATTAATTAAAAAATAGAAATAAGCTTGTCATTTTTAATTTTTATTTTTGTTTTGAATTTTACTTCATCTCTCTTCTTCATTTGAAAAAATTTAAACTACCCAAATAAGTGATTTTAAATACATGGATTTCAATGTGACATTTGAAAGATAGGATTTTAAATCTAAAATCCAAAACCAAATCCATCAATCCAAGCACCACTTAAGTTCTTTTTGCATGGGCCTTTAATACATGGACATATGATAAATAACCTATATTAAGGCTCTCGGCCTGCACTCTACAGTTTATCTGTCTAGTTGGATTTTTAGCATTTGATCTCCAATCCTTACATGTGTATTATGGCTAATAAATCAAATACTTATAAATGAGTGTGAAATAAATACAGTGGTAATTGGTTGGAGAAATAAGATTGAATAAATATTTTTCTTCATAAAAATGGAAGCATGTGAGAGCATTTCTAGCACAGAAAGACTCCCGTAAGTTAACGTCTAGTAGTATTTAAAGATAAACGCTTTCATATCTTGAGTGCCTTGAATTGTTTGGCCACTTGCAGCAAGTAATCTCGTGTGATTCTTTTTTTTTTTTTTTTTAAAACATGATGGACTTTCTAAGTGTTTTAAATTCTTTCATCCAATGAATTAAACTATAACTGTAAGATTTCATCAATGCTTGAAAATTCATACTTAATGAAACAGTGAGTTAAAAGACATTTTTATGAAGAAGAATTTCAACCATGTTTCCCAGCAACCATATAAACCATTTGATAGGGGACATAGAAGCAGAATCGTGCTAGTTTAGGAACAAAATCCTGACACAACAAAAACACAAGAACAAAAAAAAAAGAGACGAAATTTATGATGAAAATAAAGAAAGATATGAAATAAATAATGAGATAATGATCAAGGAGAAGATCCTCTAGAGCACCTGCCTCTAGGAATCTCAACCTTCAAAGACACCACAAGAGTTGATCACGCTCTTGATCACGTCTGTTTCTCACACGGGATGCCAACACAAAGCATTAGGGTTCACAAGAGTTATAAACTCTAAAATGAATAATTTCATTCAACTTCTGTTCTGTTTATAAGAGAGAGTATGCCTAATTTATATAGGCTCATAGAAAAGAATATTTTCTAAAATTAAAACCCTAATTTCCTAATACTAAAAGGAGAAATAATATAAAATAATGATAAAATATTTAGCTACATAATTTAGGAGATGTGATCCTAAAATTATGGGATTACAAAATTTAGAAATTAATACTACAATTAATTCTAACTTTTGACTAAACTCAAATTAGGAAATCAAATCAAAGGACCATTAAAATAGGAAATAATTTAGGAGACAATCAAGAGATCATAAAGGATTTAAAATCACGCCACCCTTGACTTCTTCACTAGGGTTTCATGCCTCCTTGCTTGCAAGAGGCTCAACTTGTAGTCTTCCTTGCATTGGGCTAAGGTTTGCATCTCTTGGGCTTGACTCTTCATGAATTTGGATCTTAAGCACATTATACACGTATTGATGCTCTCCTTTGGGCTTGAGAGGAGTGCCCCAATGCTCTCCAAGCTCTTGAACTTCTTGCACAAGACTGAACAAGGCTTGCTTCATGGTTTTAGTTTGGACTCTTATTATTGGACCTCCAATATGGTGTAATGGGTCTTTAGGTATATTGGATTGGAAGTATTGGGCTCCTTCCATGTCTCCATACTCATGGTTACCATCCTCAAGCTTCGTTGCCATTAATGTTATGTCATCTATGCCATGGGGTCCGTCACCATTGGATTAAGATATAGAGCAAAACAAAAAGGTAGAGCTGTAATTTGGCATTTGTTTCATATCTTGTGCCTATATCTTTGGCATTCGTTTGATTGAAATGAAGATTTTTATAGTATCATGTGAGACATTAATCGAATGAAAAAACTTGAGGCATTCATTAAATTCAGGTCCTTTGTAATAAACATCCTCGTAATCCAAAAGTAAGTGCTCCCATAAGTCTCAGTTTTTCTTTTTGGTTGTTTTTCTTATAACTGGCACCACCATGTAACACGCGAATGACTCATATGAACACTTCGTCCTCTACTATATGCAATGAATAAAAAGAAAAGAGAGCGAAAGAAAATAATTTAAACAATATATACCAAGTCTAACATGCACAAAGAAGATGATTGAATCCATTTATCGTCATAAATTAGTGTTCTCAAAGTCTTAATAAACCATGCACATTACCTTTTTTAACCAAAATAAAATACAATAAGGATGCACTTGGATACATGTGAATTTAGATTTGAACTAAATTTTTCATTTGGATATATAAAAGTCTTGGGCTTTGGATATTATAAGTTTTTTGTAATTTTAAATTCTATCTCCACCCTACTTGTTTAAAATTCTAGCTACTTCGACTCTCTTATATTCTTCATGTTTTCAGAATCCTTTTATCTATTATTCTCACCCTATGTCTCATTTCTCATTATTATTGTCGATTGAAAAATAAAGTTAAGTTTTTCACTTCTAATCTTTCATTTTTGCTTTGAATTTCAGCTCATATCTTTTTTTCTAACTTTAATTTTTTTTTGGCCAGATTTAACTTTAAAATTATTATACCATCTAAATAAAGGATTTTAAATACATGGATTTTAAATATAAAATTTTAAATATAATATTTAAAATTTAAAATTTAAATTCAAATTCATACATCCGAACACTATCTAAATGAAATAATTGAAGGTGGAGGAGCCAAGGAAATTAAACTTCTTTCCTGTTACAAACATTCAAGTCATTAAGCAACGCACCAACAAAAAAGGGATAAGGGATACATCTTACTATGTGCAAGCTGAATAAGTTCAAACCTCATGCACTCCAAAACTCCACAAAATAAGTAGTATGTAGCCTGAGATAAATTATATAGAGGCTCTAGGGGTGTGCCATCAAAACATAAATTCATCGATCAGTTTCCAAATAAACCATAGTAAATCATAGCAACAAAAGAAAAATTATAATAATCATAATAGCTAGGTCCCTTCAGATTTTTAGATAGAAACCACAAAAATCCATACATTAAACATTTGAACGGCCAAAAAAATTATAATAATCGAAAATATTCATATTTATAACCAAGTGGGTACAATCATTGTAGAATGTTAAGTTTCCACATCAGTTATTTTTTTCCAGGATAATGAACCTTTAGTGCATCAAGTTTGCTTCAATTATCAAGTTTGTCCTTCAAATTTATTTTTTGGTTAAGGTGGGTTTTTGTCCCTAAATTATTCTTCAAGGATCACCCAATATCATAAATATTTATCATAGCAATTTTTCCTTAAAGTAATTAAAATATGGCATATTTCTCTTTGATATTAAACACCACAATATTGACTGTTAAAAATATTGACTGGGACTTAATTTTTATAAAATCCCACCTGTCATGCAAGATGGATCCGAATGTTCTAAATTATTTGTGTTGTAACAATTTTGCCTCTAAAGTAATTAAAAGGCAGCATATTTCCAAATATTTGTAAGTAACTTGGCATGATAGGTGGCATTTTTAGTTAGACTAAAATTTCAATCAACATTTTTAACAGTTAATGTTGGGGTAATTAACGTCAAGAAGAATATATATATATATATATATGCTATGTTTTAGTTACTTTATAAGTGAAATTGCTACAACAAATAAGTTAGGAAATTGAGTGCTTCTTAGATAATAGTTTGAGGGAGAAAATGCACTTTAACTCTTTAATTTTTATTGATTTAGTACCTTAAATTTGCCTCACTTATTGGTTTAGCTCTTATTATTTAAATCAATGTTAAACTTTGCTTACATGGATATTGGAATATTGATTGTAGCCATGTAGGTTAACAAAAAAAGTGTAATTATTTAGGTAGAAAAAACAGCAACTCAAAAATTTTAAAATATACAAAAACAAAATGAAGTGTAAATGACTAGATTAATAAAAATTAAACTTATTTGAGAGATAATTTATGCTAATTTAGCTACATATGCATGTCAAAATATTCAAAATACTTTATACATTAGATTAACTTGAGAGTCAATTTGTTTTAAAGAACACACAAGATAATTCAAGAAGATATAAGGGATGAAATTAATAAAAATTAAATTCAAGGAACTAAACGTTTCATTATCTTTTTTTTTTTTATTTAATTACTTGTCATCGCTGTAATCAGTGATGATGATTTAATGATCGGCTAGTAGCTAGTCAAAATGATATTTTTTATATGGATAAGACATTAAATGAAATTAATCTATTGACATTTATTTATAATTTTGATACTTAATCAATATTAATTTTCATATGGGAGTAGTTATTTATAATTTTTAGTATATTTATTTCTAAAAATTCCCAGATTATACTGCACTGTCGTATACTTCGGACGAAATTCACAACATAACCCAGTTGCATACATATAAGAGAAACAAAGTTGCTATTTTCCCTATGAGAGATAAATTATTCAACAGACATGAAACTCATTCGGAATAAATTAAGGCTCCTTTTTACACATACAAATGGAAAAGAGATAGATTAAATCGAATTAATTAAAACTAACAAAATTAATTTCTTGTTTCAATTCATGACTTCCATTGCCCTTGAAAAAACACGCGTGATCTGATCTACACGAAAAAACAAAGGGCCATATTATATATCTTTCAACTTTTAGGGTCTCTTGGTTGCTGCTGCTGCTGCTCTGTACTTGGTCGCATATCTATGAAACAAGCCAAGTGCATTGCTAGTGACTTGCGCAACGTTCAAGACCTTCCCTCTTATTGTAGCCTTCATCTTACTCATTCTGTGACCTGGAAAGTAATCCACACAAGTGCTTGCATCAGTAAGAGCAGTACTAACCCATGTCTCAACGTTGCTTATGTGCCACAAGACACCATCATTGATCTTAGTGCTTGGGATCTTATTAAACCTTTCAAGCTCTTTTATTGAAAGGCCAAGCTGGTCCACACTGTCATTGATCTGCTTCAAGCAATCTTGCAGAACAAAATAGTCTCTACCATTGTCATTGCGATTCTTGAGTGCCTTGAATTGTTTGGCTACTTGTAGCAAGTAATCTCTTGTGTATTGTGCTCTTGAGAGACTCACAGATAAGGCCACATGAGTCAAGTGTTGTGGGTTTTGGATGTTTGAATTGGCAAATTTGTATAAGCAGCGAAGGCATAGATTTGGATACAAAGTGGTTTCACAAGAGGCTTTTATATAAGCGATGGTTTGAGGATTGTATTGACGATGATGAGGTCTCTGATACAAGGATGGCTGATGATGATCAGCTGAAGCATGGATTGAGAAGAGAGAAAAGAGGATCGTCACTAGAAATAATGTGAGACTGATGAGTTGTGCTATCTTCATTCTTAGTTTAGGATGAAGAGAGAATTCAATAACTCAAAGCTCTCATATAAAAGCAGGTTGTAGGTTGAGAGAAATGGCAAGGGGCTGTGGTGCTTATATAGAGAAGTTCATCAGATTTAGTGCATATCATCATGACCGTCCAAATGATTTTATATATACGGACGGTTTAGATTTTATTATTTTATATCATTTAAGATTGGAAAAAAAATGCTATTGACTGTAATTAGAAAATAAAATAACGTTGACCATTCAAATTAATATCATCACATCATTAATGGTTTAAATGAGTAGTGTGCACGCACGTGGTGCTCATCACATGGTGCACTAGTTGGAGGTTTTTTCTGCATGACCAATTGCTTAACTAGCTTTTTCTCTGATCTTTTTCTTTTCCAATATTCTCTCCGTTACTATCTATAATATTTAATTTTTTAAAAAAAAACTCTTGTCCCTTTTCATAATACCTTGTATAAATTTTTTAAATATTTTATAAATTATATTTTCAGTCTTTTAATTCTAACACCATTAGTTTTAAATACAATGTAACTTTAGTCCCTCAAGTTTATTTCAGATATCAATTTGGTCCCTCAAGTTTAATTTTCATCAACTTAGTCCTTTAAGTTTATTATGGTTATTGACTTGGTCCTTAATGTTTAAAAAGAAGATTGCATTGCTAAAATTAGATGACATGAATAACAGAATATGAATGGCAACCATGTAGGTTAATGAAATGAAGTATAATCGTTTAGACAGGAAAAAAATAGACTCTGAAATTTTTTAAAACAAGAGAACAAAATATAATGTAAAGGATTATATTGTTAAAATAAATTAATTTAAGCGTTAACTTGTTCTCATTTAACTATATATGCATGTCACATTATCAATATAATGTGATAACAGGGGCAAACTTGAGGGATTAGAAGTTATATTCTCCTCAAAAATTAAACTTAATATGTCAATGTTGTAAAGTTCAAAGGAAGAATTTATTTTTTTAAAACTAACAATATTAGAGTTAAATGGTTGAAAATTCAATTTTTAAAATTAATTAAAAATGTAAACGAAACTTTATGTAAAGTAAAAAGATTAAATGTATATTTTAACTTATTGGCTTATGTAGCCCTATATAATGTTTTTTCTCTTATTATAAAACATTTGTTTGCAGGGAGAATTTGGAAATTAACAAAGAAGAGGAAAAAATATTTATTAGACACAAATAAGTTCCTTGATCTCCGTGATTTAGGCAACTGGCCGGGTATTATACTTAGGGATAGAGTATTATTTAAAGGGGATATACATGCAAGAAGTTGCACAAAGATGCAACCAAAATAGGCTTTTAATTAAAAGAAGAGAAACTTAGAGATAACATTTGCATTACTTTGAAGCAACAATTAATAGATTACTCCTCTCATCCTATTTATAAGGCTGAGAAGATTGTTTTTCCTATTTATAAGCCATAATATTAAATTTTTATTACAATATTGGTGAGAAAAAATATGTTATTAAATATTGGCGGGAAAAAAATATTATTAAAACATGTATATTTAATAGAAGCAAAATTCAAAGTTTATTAAATTTTTAAATTTTTTTAATGAATTTTAAGGTTTTCCTTGTTCTAATAAAATATGTTGGAAATGACTTATATATATGACCAGAGAAATATATCATATTTATATTAATCATGTCACAATGGTTATATATAGCAATGGATATATCAAATATTTATGAAGTCTTTCTGGCCAAGATAAAAATCTCTAAAAATTCTTGATTTAGATGGAATAACTTGCAAGTAGCTAATAATAGCTTAGGATAAAATAAACTGATCATTTTTATAAATGTATAACCAATGAAATAATGTGGAAAAATCAGTCCTCTTCGCTTTTCATCAACAATATAATTAGATAACAATCTGAACTTTGGTTTAATCTTCAATTTAAGGGCCATATCCTGACAATAACAGAAGCGTATCAAAGAATCAAAAGACTGTTGGAGTGAGACATAGTTTAAGGAGGGTGTCATCTCTATAGGGCTTCTCATGGCATGCATGTGCAATAAATTAAAGTGGGTCAACGTATAGTAGTTTTTGTTACTCTTTCTTTGAAATCATGCATTATAAATTATTGAAAGGATTAAATGACAAATTAACTCCTAAATTATAGTTCTAGTTAAGAGTGTCTGGGGTCTTAAATTTATTTTTTGGGTGCAATATTCTCTTTTTAATATTTTAAAATGACGCAATATGGCCTTTGTTGTTTGCAAATATTTATTTTGACCATTTATTGAGTAAAAAATACAAAAAATGACCCCAAAATTTAAAAAAAATATCATTTTATGTAATTTTTTTATTTTTGTCTATAATTTTTGGGTTCTTTTTTGTAATTTTTTTATCCTTTTGAATAATTTTTAATATCAGTTTTGGTCATTTTCTGATAAAGTAATGGTCAAAATTAACATTTATTAATGGTAAAAGTTATATTTCATTGTTTTGAAAACTTGAAGGGAAACATTGTACCACAAATGAATTTAGAGTTCTATTTGTTCCTAAACCTATAATTTTGGGATCATTTTGTCATTCAACCTTGAAACAAAGTTTAAAAGGGAAAAATAAAATGCATGAAAGATCAGAAATATAATCCATTATTATTTATGTGTAATTTAATATAGAGATTGTCAATGAATTTCTTTTTTTTTTGGCTTGCAGATTATGAAAACCCAACATGGAGATTAATTTTCGGCGATTCAAATGGATCTTTGTCAATCAGAAAAGTAAAGAGCTAAGAGACAAACACATGATTTGTGGATTTGACCAAATGGTTGGCAAAATATAATATTGCGGCTAAATCAAGCTATGAAGATTCCAGATACCACAATTAGGATTCAAAAGACTACATTTTTAAATGTTGTTGCAAGTGGGCTAGCAAGGCAGAATAATTAATCTTCCAGAAAATATCAGTAAACATCCAAAAACAAAGACATATATATATACACAAAAATATTAAAAAGAACACTAAATTTATTCATAAACTAGTTGTCGATTCGAAGTAAAGTATACTATCACTATTGATGGTTTGCGAATAATACAGTGTCTTTAATTTGTAAGTTTTATATAATAGCAATATTATACTATATAGGGTTACAAGGAAAATTTTTCCTAAAAAATTTTCTCCAAATACAATTGAAATATTCTTAACTTTCAATTACTGCAATGCTACTTGAAAGTTTTATAAATAGTGTAATGTCATTATACAGTAATGTTTGACCAACATTTGTTCGTTGAACAAGCCTAATCAGAGTTAAAGTGCAGTTTTGCCCTAAACTTTTAACTGAAAGAGCAATTGGTATTATAAACTTTTTACTAATGCAATATTTTTGAATTATCAATACTCAAATAAAAATAAGGTGTAGAAATATGTTTCCCTGATTTTGATTATGACAAAGTTTAAAAAGGCTTTGTATTTAACATGTCTTATTTCCTCAGAAATATGAAGCTTCTATGCATCATTCCTAAAATCTTCAAAATTTGTTCTTTTTCTTCGAAGTTTCTATGCTGAGAATGTTTTTTCAGCCTTCTATCCTTCTACAAACTTTGAAGTTTCTCCATCCTGTTTTGAAATTCTGAACTCTCTGGTTGTACCTCTTCAAACTTTGAAGTTTCTAGCTCTTAAAACTTCGAAGATTTCTTTTAAACTTGTTAACTAAGTTCATACTCTTCGTAGTTTCCTTCTTGTGGTTTCAAAGTTTCTGCTTACAGTTCAAATACTTGCAAGTTTCTCTCACACTTCAAAGTTTTGTAGTCAAACTTAAATACTTCAAAGTTTCACTTTTGGTTTCGAAGTTTCCATCCATCGTTGAAAAGCTTTTAAGTTTGTCTCAAAAATTCGAAGTTTATCTCCTCTAGTCAAATTTTATTAGTTTCTAAATACTGTTTTACCTCATGATTATCCTTCAAAACTTAATCTGAAACCACTCTTTATTATTTCTAAACTTATTTATATTCAGATTAATAGCTTCTAAACTGTGGATTAAGCTTTAAACGAATATTATCTCTTTAGTCCATTTTTTCATAATAATTATATACTTCGAAGTTGTGTATCAATGGTAAGAATGTCGTATCATTTAATGCGAATATACTTTAAGCCCCAAATGTGCTATCGAGACGGAAATACTTCTTTCTTCCATTTTTTCAGGAAAACTTGTCATCATTATTAAAGATAAACTAAACATGGGGTAAAGTGTCTAATGTTTAAATTAATGAGAAACAAGTCACAATAGTAGATTCATGAGTCTAACGTACATTTTGCATAAAAACACTATAAAAGAATTCATTTAGGAAGGCCAAGGCAGACAAGTTATTATGTGAACTGTTTCATTAAATTCCTCAACTAATCTTCTGCATTTGAATTTTAAACAACTTCATTGATTATATATCTACTTTTCTAAAAGTTTATTAAGAATTTGATCACAAAGTGATCAGCCATGTTTTCATATGCTTAGAATAGAGTATCTTAAGTTCTGGGAACTTAAATAGGTGATACATTATCTTTGTAAGAGGGTGTGTTTCAAACTTGTATAGTCTAGTTTGTATTGAGGCATCCAAGAGCCCAAATCAAGTTTAGAGATTATAGTTAAAAATGATAAGCTTTGTTGGAATCTGACATGATTTGATTTTTGTGGTAGAATCAATCCTGTGGTGGAATCATACGAGATGATAAAGGTAATTAGATCAAGAAAATTTTCAAATACCTTGGCTACCAATTCAACACCATGATAGAACTTTTGGGTATTTTAGAAGGACTTTAGCTTTGTTGGAATGCACGATTTAATAAAATCAACATACACTTTGATTTAGTGGAAGCCAAAATGGTTTGTTTTCACCTCAAAACACTTTTAAAGGTGTCCAAAACATACTAACAAATGCTATTAGCTCTGGAATCACTTTAACTACATCAAATGGACCACAAAACATAACAAGCCAATCATCTCACACAAATAAACATTCATACTCAAAATGACCACCAAACCTCCAATTTACAACAACACTAAGGGGTGGATA